TCAGTCTCCTGCTGGCAAATCTGCCAAGGCATGATTTTATCTTCACCCCCATATGTTCCCAGACTCAGTTGCTACGTGGCACCTAGCACCTGGGAGCAAACAGGTGGGGCTGAACCTTGCTCCGTGGCCACGTTCATTTCCAGAGTGTCAGTCAGCACATGGGACTAGAGTGTGGATATCTTCATCGGGCCTGTGTCATAGCTCGCACAATCCAATGTCACCACTGCCGCAGAAACCTTCCTGGGGTCCCACTCCACAAGGTCTCAAGCACAAGTCACCCTCTGCCTGGGAGTCCTTTCTGTGGCAAAAACACCCCGGCCCACCCCCCAGATCTGGCCACACCCAATTTGGTAGGCTAGCATTGGCTCATACTGACACCAAAAAGCTAGCTGGGGTCAGGACCTGCTGTTCGTGCATCTTCTGGCCCCTGCTTCTTCAGACACCATATTTCCTCTAGCAGTCTATCTACACAATCAGCTCTGCAGGTTTCATAGCTTTGAGTTCATGAAGCTACAATCAAAAATACTAGAGAAAAGGGTAGCATTGTGGTATATCAGGTTAAACTGCTGCTTGTGATGTCAGCGGCCACAGAGGAACGCCAGCTCACTTCCCATCCAGCTTCCTGACAATGCAACTGGAAAGGCAGCAGCAGATGGTCCAATTTGGCATTGTGGTGCAGCTGATTCAGCTGGCACCTGAGATGGCAGAATCCCATATGAAGGCTGGTTTGAGTCCCAGCTGCTCCACTTCCAATCCTGCTCACTGCAAATGCACCTGAGAGAGCAGTGGATGATGGCAGAAGTACTTTGGCCACTGACACTCAACTGGGAAATCTGGATGAAGTGTCTGACTCCTGCCATTGGCCTGGCCCAGCCTTGGCACTGTGGGCATTTGGGGGTGAGCCAGTGGCTGGAAGATTGATCTCTCTCTGTTGCACTGCCTTTAAATGAATAAATGTTTTTTTTTAAAAGATGAATTTATTTTTATTACAGAGTCAGATATACAGAGAGGAGGAAAGATGGAGGGGAAGATCTTCCATACGATGATTCACTCCCCAGCAACGGCCGGTGCTGTGCCAATCTGGAGCCAGGAGCCAGGAACCTTCTCCAGGTCTCCCACATGGGTGCAGGATCCCAAAGCATTGGGCCATCCTCAACTCTTTCCCAGGCCACAAGCAGGGAGCTGGATGGGAAGTGGAGCTGCCAGGATTAGAACCAGCGCCCATATGGGATCCCGGTGCGTTCAAGGCAAGGACTTAAGCCACTAGGCCACCATGCCAGGCCCGGAATAAATCTTTCTTAAAAACAGTAAAAAAAAGTCTGCACAGACTGTTTTCTGACCATTAGTCTCTAAATAACACAGTATAACAGCTGCCCACACACCATTTACACTACATTAATGATCGTAAGCAATCTAGAGATGGTTTAAAATGTATGGGATGATGTGCATGCATGAGAAGCCATGCCATTTGGCTGAGTGCTGAGGATTTTAGTAATTGTGGAGTAGGATCCTGGGAACAATTCCCCATGGATATCAAGAAATGCCTGTACCACTTTCCACCTTGCAACATAAAGTTGCCACCCAGCCACTCCAACCTCCCCCTTCCTTCCCTCTCCCTGCCTTCCATGCTGGGAACTTGCCAATGGCTATTGTCTGGACAAATCCTCCAAGCTACAAACCTTCTTTTTCTTGGGAGAGAGTAGAATAAGTAAGCATGTCCCCCAGGACTCAGGATGCCCCTGTATTAAGAGTGGCATCTACTGCTGGGTATGTCTGCCAAGGACACAGCTGGGGGACAAAAGAGGCCCTCTCTGACCTAGGCTTCAGCCTTCTGGGTTAGGGTATCTAACCACAGGCAGTAAGACACAAGGACGGACTTGCGGACAGAGGGCACAGACCACGTGGTGTGTGAGAAATGGACTGGGGTGGAACTGAGGGGAGGGAAGAGTACAGTGTAGCTGCGGGCTTGGGCTGCAGGGACCAGGTGGCCAGGCTGACTGGGACAGACTCAGGAGCCTCTGCAAAGCAACTCACAAGAGTGGCTTTGATATTTCTTCAGCATGATCCATGGTAAGACACTTTTCCACAACCCCATAGAGACACTGGTGCATGCACATGGTGAAATTGAAATTAAAAGACACAAAACAATAATTAACATGCTCTGTATGATGTGCTCTGACATTTCCTATTCTGTTCTATCCATTAAAAAAATTGCTAGTCTCAACACACTCATCTGACAGCACAATTCCCTAGTGAGTCACAACCTGCAACTCAGAACATTCTACTCTATGGTGTTTCAGCTATTTCAAAGGGGCTTTGAGGTTTTGAAATGCTCACTTTACAAAATGCTCCCAACCAACTGAGCTCCTGCGATTGCCAGACGTCATGCTTGATGCCAGCGGGGGAGGTAGCAGGTGGCTTCAGATAGCAGAGGGGAGGACGTGGCTACCCTTGAGGTCCAAGAAAGCCACACAGCACAGACCAGAGGAGCTGTCTGACAGAGTGAGCTCAGCCACGTGCTGTGCAGATTGGAGATCTGAGGACCTTAGCCACCCGTGAGCACCTAAACCTGGCACCGCTACCCCTCCCTGGGAGCCTTAGAAGGCAGACAAGCTCTGCTGTCCTTCCAGCCCACATCTCCCCTCGCCCGGGAATGGAACCCCTATTCCCCTTCCTCCAGGATGGCCCAGAGCTTGAGAGTGGGAGAATGGGGTGGAGGAAGGTGGAGCCCTGAGTTGAAGCTGGCAACTCCCAGGTGCAGGGAGCCTCTGGGATATGGGGAGACTTCTGGGGCATGAGGTCCCTCCAGCGCAAGTGGGGGCTCATTCCAGCGTGGCCTGTTCATACACTGAACTAGCATGGTGAGGTAACTCATGTGTCTCCAATTCATTTCCATGACAATTGGGTTTTATTTTTTCCAGCACCTCTGTGGCTTCTGAAGGGGAAAGATAAGCCACTTGGAAGGCCCCTGACGCTCCCGCTACAATTATCCCAGCGAGATCCCGCAGGAGATGAAGGGAGTGGAGTGATTTCTGTAAATGAAAGGCTGCAGCCTCAATCGCACTGCACTTGCAGCCCCTGCCCGCCCACGGGCCAGGTGGTGCTGTCTTCCCATCCCTGGTTTGGGAAGTGAGAAGCCACCTAGGTAACCAGAACAGAGACAAGGGACAAGGGAAATAGGGGCAAGGAGAGCCCAGCAGGGAACAAGGGCTGCCCCTGCCTCTTGTTGCCCCATCTCTCCAACTGTGGCAGAGGGATGGGGGGGTCAAGGAAGGATGAGCAAGACCCTGAGCAGTGGCCAGGCTCCTGTACAGATTTCCCTGACCCAGCATCTGCACTTGCCCCGGGCTCTGTCACAGGCTTAGCTGATGGGCAAACAGCCTTATGGTTGATGGCTCCTCTGTGTGTGACAGGCACCTGGCTGTGTACCTCTCAGAGGCTGCAGTGTCTGTATCTGTCAAATGGGGTGATGGCCCTGCAGCTATGGGACAGCTCATCAGCTGCAAGACATGTGCCCAGGGAAGGGGCTGTTACTGTCACTATGGAGTGAGGCAGTGGCGGGTGCACAGAAGGGGGCCTAACCCACTTTCCACCAGGGGGCTGTCGTGGCTGGCAGGGATCGGTGATTGGCTGTGAGAGGGGGCTGAGCCCCTAGGGCCTTCTTGGTCTGCAGCCAAGACCTTTGTCCGCTTGATCTGCTCCTCTGTCTGATGAAACATCACCTTCTGGGGCTGGGCAAAGGGGCATGGGGGAAACCTCCCCTCGGACAGAAGAGAAGGCTCAGAGAGCTGCTTCCCAGTTAGGATGAGGGGGTGCTGGGGACTAGCAAGGGTCCTGACCTCACTGCGTGCCTGCTGGCCACATACGCAGCCCCTGCTTAGTACTGCTCCATTGGGATAAGCAGAAGGGAGCGGAAGCACTGGCAGGAAGGACCCAGGGTCTGGGAGGAGAGGGCAGCACATGAGGGAGAGTGTCTCAGTGAGAACAGTGTCCTCAGGCTGCACAGAGGACAAGTGTCCAACAAGCTGAAGTAGGGCAAGTGCCAAGGCACACAGTGGAAGCACAGCCAGGCAAGGGAGCCCCAGCACACACAAAGGTGGGAATTCTGAAATCACGTGTTCTCTTCCAGGCACGCTGGCTGTGCAACCTGCTACCCTTTCACAATGTCTCTGAGCCTCAGTTTACCCTTGGGTCAAGTAAAGGATCCAGAACCTCAAGAGGTCAGCTGGCCCCACCCCCAACTGAGCCTCCAACCTTGTCCAGCAGACCTGACAGGTCCACCGGCGAGCCATTCCCCATTAGACAGGTTCAGCCCACTGCTAACTTCTCACTTTAACCAGACAGCCTAATGACTGTCAAACAGTTGATGACAACGAAAGCATCACTGAAGCTGGTTATTAACTCCATTGTCATTAGGGCTGCACCAAAGTTAGAGGCAAAAGGGAGGCGGGGCAGGTGAAAAGGGGCCACCGCAGTTCCAAGCAGGGGAGCAAGGGCACAGAGAATGGCTGAGCACTCAGCACTGCAGAGTGATGAGACTGTGGGCTGGAGAGCACACCTCAGCTCTTGGAGTTGTTGATGAGACAGGAAGGAAGCTAATTGCAGGAGGCAGAGGGAGGGAGGGCAGACTCCAGCCTCCAGGGCCGAGTGGGGAAGGGTTCCGTAGAGGAGGGGACTGGGCTGATAGGAAGAGCAGCACTTGCACGGGAGGCTCTGAGATTGTTCTGAAACCACCTGCCTTGTGGCACCTGCTCCCTGAGGAGATTAAGCTCAATGGTAAAGCAGGAGTCACAGGGAATATGTGGAGCATTGGGGCCAGCCTGGGCTGACAGCTGGACACTCCAGACAGGTTTTTGCCCAGCATTATACTATGGAGGCTGGAAAAAGCAGGCATCCCGGCCAGCACCAGGCTTAGGTCGACTTTCCCCAGGCCCAGATGGCCCAGGTCAGCAGGCACAAGCTCTGAGCATCCCCAAGGCCAGTGGAGGGGGGACACTCACCCACAATCTCATTCTCCTCCAAGCTGATGGTCTCCAGCGCAGGCAAAGTGGTGAGCTGCTCGGGGAAGTCCCGGAACTGGTTGCGGGACAGGTCGATTGCCTTGAGGTGATGCAGGGTGCTGACCTCACTCGGGAGGCGATGCAGGAAGTTCCCTTCCAAGCGGAGCTCTGCCATGTACAGGGACGAGGAGAGAGGACAGTGAGGAAGGGCCACCAGGACTGTGGCCAGCAAGGCTCTGGCCACCCCTCCAGGGCCTGCCGCCTATCATCAGTACAGGTCAACTGTGGTTGGGTGCTTTGCCCAGGGACTACATCAAGAGGCACAATGTGCTGGTTCCTCCCTCAGAAAGGACCGGGTCAGACAAGCAGCCACCCCTCTAGAGGATGTCACTTGGGCAGCTAGCTTCTTCCGTTGTCACACAACTGATCAGACATGGTGGCAGCTTCCTGCCCCAGAGCAGACCAGTCACCTAGACAGGGACCTGTGTGAGAAGGACTGGCCCGGGGTGGTGGGGGCAGGGAAGTCCTTCTGTCTTGGACCCAGACAAGGGGGGCCAAAGTGTAGAAAAAAAAAAACCTAGGTGTAGTTCATGGTGGCTGTGGACATGAAGGAGGGTCATTGTGTCTGATGCAGGGCCTGCAACCTGACTCCCATTGCCCAGCACAAACCCAAGTGGGGCCATGTACACATTGCTGCCTCTGCCCGATCACCCTGACATACCCACTCCAGGGGAGTGAACCTACAGATAAAGGCTGGAGTCATGAGAGAACAGAGTCTGGAACCCATGGGGCTCTGCTCCTGCCAGCTCCCCAGCCCCTATCTTCTTACCCAGTCCCTTCTGGGAAAGCCCTGTTCTATTTCTTGGATCCTCCCCACTCTGGCCCAAGAGAAAGCTGAGGCCCAGAAATGCCACACAGCCTGAAGAATGTCCCAATGAGCGCACAAAAAGTTCTGTGCTCTAAGGGGGCCTGCCCTTGAGAAGGCTGTCTCAAGCTCTTTAGTGATTCTATCTTCAATCAGGTGCATGTTTCCTAAGCAGAGCCAGGGGTACCCATCAGAGCTACACCTGTTCTGATTCCCACCAGCTCCCTGTAGAGGATCCGCCTCTCCCTACCCCTCTCTGCTCAGTGAGGGAGGTCACCGTCTGGCACCTGTGCCCTCTGCCTTCTCAGCTCTCATCTCTCCCTCTCCCTTCATCTCTCCCCTCTCCAATGTGTCTTGGAGGGAGCGCTGCTGGAGACGGAGTCTTGGTGAAAGATGACAGCCTCTCACTGGTCCCAACCAGCTACTGAGCAGGTCCTGCCCACAGGTTTGAAGCTCCTTGGAGGAGTTGCCTGACAGCCAGGGGTAAGGGACCTGGGTTCTTGGGAAGGAAGGCACCTGCCTCAAGCATGGTGGTCTAGCATTGGGTAACAGCAGAAACCAGGCCTGCGGGGAGTGACTGTGCACTCATAAGTGTGCACTCATAAGTGTGCAGGGAGTGAGTGTGCACTCATAAGTGTGTCCCTGACTCCCCCTCCCTGGAGCTGCCCCTCGTGGGTCCCTAGGGTCTACTCATTACACCTGGGACAGCACTTGGGAATTAAATGCTCTGATAATCGAGTCTGACATAGACATTGTAGCACACAGAGATTGATGGACAAAGGTGCACAGTTCTGGTTTACCCATTCTCAGAACGATCTGAAATAGCAAAGAAAAAGCACGAGACCTACTGTGGGAGGAAGCAGGAGTGCGGAAAAGGCTCTCTAGAACCTCTGGGCCCGCTCCTGCCTCCCCACCACAAGGCCCAGGTGTGTACTGAAGCCACACCACATGCCCCGGGCACTGACCTGGTGCCTTCCTCCTCCCTTGGACCCCTAGCTCCACAGACAGCCCTGGGGTGCGGAAGAAGAGAAGAGCCACTCCAGGGTGCCCACAGTCCCTCCAAGGGCTCCTTTCCATTCCTGCTGATGCACATTCCAAAAGGCAGTAGCTTTCTGTGCCCCGCCCCTGTGGGATGTTGCCATGTTTGCAACTGGCCTCTCAGAGAAGGCCAGTTACCTGAGGTTGCAGCTTTGTGTCCATTGTGGTTAAGTGTCCACAGTCCCCAGTGAGCACTCTGTAAAGACCCAATGAAGAGCAGGCATTTAGATAAGCCACGACCTGGGAGACCCACATGCTATATCAGAGGGCCCAGGTTCACAATCCAGCTCCTGCTCTTCTGATCTGGCTTCCTGCTAATGTATACCTTGGGAGGCAATGAGAGAAGGGTTGAACACTTGGACCCTTGCCACCCATGTGGGAGACCCAGCTGGAGCATGGCTCCTAGCTTTGGCCTGGTCCAGCCCTGGATGTCAAGAACATTTAGGGAGTCAACCACCAGCTGGAAGATATCTGTCTGTTGCTCTGCCTTTCAAATCAGAAATCAATAAATAACATAAAAAATCAACATCACTTTAAAAAGGAAACACCTCACAATTTGGCTGAACCTCTTTGCCACATACAGTATTATACTTTTTTATATGATTCATTCTTTTTTACTTACATAAAAAGGCAAATATCCCTACTGATTTCCATAACAAATAACATTATTCAGTGCTTAGTGGACACTGGTGCTGGCTGAAGCTCTGGGCCCTAGGCCAGTCTTTCTGAGTGGCACTATGGAGGGACAGCATGTCCTGAGCAGGGCAAAACTGATATAGGGCCAGCCAGCACCACCAGCTAGGGGGCGTCAGGCCGTGGAGTCTCAAAGCCACTTCCCTGTAATAAAGACTATTTCGCAGCAAGAACATGGGCCAGTTTCCAGGCTCTTGGGTGCTTTTCTTAAGCCTTCCTTTTCTAGGAACGCATTGCTCCACTCTCAATTCACAGCCCTTCCAAATCTGCCAGCAGGACCTATCACAGGCCACACAGGGGCCCTGCTGGCATCCAGGAGGCAGCCGCAGGTGACCACAGGGAATTTTGCCAGAAGGAGCTCCTTAGCACTGCAGTCAGTAGAGTGGCCAAAGTTCCCAACGGTCTTGAGGTTTGTTTTCATTTCCATGTTTGGGGCATGAAGCCTACCTGCATTCCAAAGCTCTGTGCCAGCCCTTGTTCCTTCCACTCCCTGAAGCAGAGCACATCTGCTGGACCACACAGCATCCAGGCCAGGGAATGAGAGCCACAGATACCCAATGCAGGGGCAGGAAGACCTCTCAGCAGCCCTCCCCCAGTGGCTTGTAGGGAGGGGCTACTAGGTATCAAGAAGCAAGCACTCTGGAGCCAGACACCCCTGGTGCAAACTCCAACATGGCCGATTCCCAGCTGTGTGGCTTCAGGCATTCTGGCCTCAGCATCTTCCTCTGTCAAATCGAGACAGTACTGGACACTCCCTATAGGGATGTGGCAACGTTTACATCAATTCATCCCTCCAGGAGGATCTGGACAGGGTGACACACATAGGATGCACTATTTAAGCATGTGAGATGGACAGAGGCATGGAGGAACAGGCAAACACATAGAAATGGCAAACCATGCAGGGTACCTGGGCAAACCCGATAACATGGCTAGTACTATATTGCCAACTATGCTTGTGTCATTAACTGCTCGTGCTCAGACCCAGAGGGGAACAAACGCCCTTTGCTTGAAGCTCCAGTAAACACAAGCCTACCTCCAGGCTCTGCTGCTTCAGAGAGCCCCATGGTGGGCCAGAAGGCATTCCTGAGCAGGTGTCTAGAACACCAGGCAGAGGTGAACTGCTTCCACTAGAAAGAAGTCCTTGATATGCAAGTGAGTCACTGTTTATCTGAAAGTTTGAATGCATAATCTGTCTTTTAAAAATATATTTGTTTTATTTATTTATTTGAAATCCAGAGTGACAGACAAAAAGGGAAAGGCAGAGAGAGGTCTTCCAATTGCTGATTCACTTCCCCAGTGGCTACAATGGCAAGGACTGAATCAGGTCACAGCTAGGACCAGAAACTTTCCTACAGGGGATATCCTGCATGAGTGGTAGGAGCTTTATGCATGTGGGCCATCTTCCACTGCTTTCCCAGGCACATCAACAGAGAACTGGATGGGAAGCAGAACAGCTAGGCCTGGAATTATAGTCAGATACAGGATGCCAGTGTTACAGGTGGGGGCTTAACCTGATGCACCACAACATCAGCCCCGACGGGTGCTTTTTTTTTTTTTTTGTCTGCTTGATTTAGGAGCCCAGTTCTCACAGACTTGTGCTCTGCCTGTCTGGCTCTGCCTTCTTGGACCAACTTAGGATCTTGCAGCCTTCTCCCTGCCCCTAAACTTTGCACATGATCAACGTGTGCTTTTCAGGAGCTGGCTCTGTGTCACCTGCTCTCTGTTAACTTTGCTGACTGATCCTATATCGTCAGCGCCAGCAGCCCCTCAAGTCTTTAGGCAAGATGACAGGCTCCAGAAGATGTCAAGTAGCTGGGCTGGGATCTGATCCCAGGCCTGTCTTCAAGAGCCACAAAAAAGTTCAGCTTCTATCTTTCCCATCCATCATGCCCTTTGGCACTGGCCATGTTGTTACTGAAGCATCTGCTTCCACAGCTAACGGTTAACTGTGCGCCCAGCAGAGACCCCGAGCTTGGGACTGACCTCATCTCTGCCCGGAGGTGCGTTATAAAGTCTCTTCTCCCTTCTGAGTCTCAGGCTTCCTGCCTGTGCAGCCTTGACTTCCAGCATCTCTCTGATCCCAATCTCTCTGAATTTCCTGGGTAGGGTCAAGTTTCCTGGCCACAGCCCAGCCCCACCATATCACCACCACCATTACCACCAGACAGGACCCTATGCATCAAGTACCTTCCATGGATCAAATCTTACCCAGGGCACCTTTTGTGCTTTATCCTCAAGCTCACAGAATCACTTGGAGTAGATGTATCCCCATTTCTCAGATGATGAGACTGAGGCCTGGAAAGGCCATACAGGATCAGCAGAACCACTGGTGACTACTTCTCTTCTCTTGAAGCTCCCTCTGTTGTCTCCCCCTTCAGAGAAACATCAAGGCAACACCCCCTGATTGGGCAACAAAGTGAGCCCCCACCCAAACATCCACATCTACACCCAACCTTGCTTCTCATGCTGGGGTCACAGCTTCCAGGCCCTGAGCCTAAGATCTTGTCTCCCCTAGAGTGTGGAGAGATCTGAAGTTGGCCAGTCCCAGAGGAATACAGGAGGGGCTGCAGCA